TAATTTGAGTTTTGCTCCACACTTTCTCCCACTCTATCCAGGATCTTCTAAGGCGATCTCTTTCAGAATAGTTGGTAGTGGTAGCCGGCCACCACCATCTAGTTCTCCTTGTGTCAGGGTCATGGAGATTGATGTTCATGTGTTCCAATAGTTTACTGGAGTAACTGATTCCAAGCAGATTCAATTTTTGTCACTTTTCTTTCTTCCGCATGTGGACAGACCAAGACTTGCACCTTAGGAGGCCGTTCATGAGCTTTTAAGATCCCAGTGGCTACTCATCAAAGTAGGATGTCCAACATTGTGTTTGTGGATTGTTATGCCAGTTGACCATGGTGTCCCAAGACTAGTCCTGAGCTCCTAGGCCCAGCAACTCATTACTGCAAGGTGTTTGGTAATGTCTAAGAAGTTTTCATCATTTTGTATCCTGTTCCATTGCCTCTTAGTTCCATTTTCAAATTTGCTTGTTGGTTCAAACCAACCAGCTGCCCTCCTGAAGAAAGACACTGCTCCAGTTAAGATTTACAGTCTTTGAAACCCCATGGAGCAAGTTCTACTGTGTCCTACAGGCTTGCTATGAGTCAACACAACATAGCAACCTGTGGGTTTGGTTAACGGGAATAAAGCAGGTTTTCACCAATCCTTGTAAACTAGCATAATGTTAACATTTTATGAGTGGATATAGTAAACAACCCATTACTGTTGCAATTACAATTCATAGCAACAGAGTAGAATTGCTCCTTAGGAGTTTCCAAAGTGTGGCACTATAGGATAAACACTGGACCATAAGATTGGTTTGATATGGCAAGGTCAGAGATTCAAATCTATCAGCCACTCCTTTGAAGCCCTATATAAGGTCAGTATGAGTTGAAACTGACTCAATGGCATTAAATATCAACAATCTTTATGGGAGCATATTCTTGCCACATTTTCCTCCATGGTAGGTTTGAGCCAACTTTTCTGTTAGTAGTCTGACACTTAACCACTGTGTTACCAAAGCTGATGATGAAAATAAGGCTGTGATTTTTTTTCCAATTAGCTATGGTTTCAACTATCAACACTCGTGGAAGCAGCAGTCAAGAAATCAAACGACGTATTGCATTAGGCAAATCTGCTGCACAAGACCTTTATAAAGTGTTGAAGAGCAAAAATGTCAGCTTGAGGACTAAGGTGCGCCTGACCCAAGCCATGGTATTTTCAGTAACCTCATATGTATGTGAAAGCTGGACAGTGAATACGGAAGATCGTAGAAGAATTGATGCATTTGAGTTATGGTGTTGGAGGAGAATATTGAAAGTGCCATAGGCTACCAAAAGAACCAATAGATCTGTTTTGGAAGAAGTGCAGCCAGAGCGCTCCTTGAAGGCCAAGATGGCCAAAGCTTGGTCTCTTATACTTCAGACACATCGTCAGGAGGGACCAATCACTGGAAAAGGATATCATGTTTGGTAAGGTGGAGGGTCAGAGAAAAAGAGGAAGACCCCCAACGAGGTGGATTGGCCAAGTGGCAGCATCGATGGACTCAAGTGTGGCAACAGTAGTGAGGTTGGCCCAGGATCGGGCAGTGTTTTGTTCTGCTGTGCATAAGGTCGCTGAGTTGGTACTGACTTGATGGTACCTAACAACAACATGGTTTCAAGGCCCTTCTCCTGTCCATAATTTCACTTATTCGCTAGGACCAGCAATTAATGTAACCTGTTAGGTACATATACCTAAATAAATCATTTACTTTTTTGGAGGGATCTTGTTTGATTGCCGTTTAAAGGAGTCCTGGTGGTGCTGTGGGATGAACATTAGACTGCTAACTGGTGGCAGTTCAAACCTATCCACTGCTCTGTGGGAACAAGATGAGGCTGTCTGCTCCCATAAAAATTGTTTCAGAAACTATGTGAAGCAGTTATCTGTCCTACATGATCCTTATAGGCTGGAATTGATTTGATGATAGTGGGTTTCATTTATGAGTTGGAATTGGCTCCATTAGAGTGGGTTTGATTTTAGTTTTTCCTAGGATATTTTCTGGAGTCCTGGTGTGGCACTGTGGGTTAATGCGCCAGACTGCAAAGCTGTGTGAACTGCAAGTTTGGTGGTTCAAGTTCACCAGTCACTCCTCGGAAACCCTATACAGGGTTGCTGTGGGTCAGAACCGACTCGATGGCACTTAGCAAAAAACAACAAAGGATATTTTGTCTTTTTTTCCTAATATATCCTTGACTTTTGGTGTGATGCTATAGGATCAGCACTGGGCTTGAACCACAAAGGCAGCAGTTCACACCACCAAATTATTCCTCAGAAACCCTATACAGGGCCACTGTGAGTGGGAACCGACTTAATGAAACTTATTAGCAATGTAGCCTAAGTAGTTGTATATTTACTTTACTACAGTCCTTTTTATTAAATTAATGCATATCTCATCAACCTCTTCAATTTAGAATAGAAAAAAGTAATCTAAATTCGGCATGTTTGAGGCTTCCTACATATGCCAACACCACTATTGTGTCTGTTGTTGTTAAGTGGCGTTTAGTCGTTGCTGATTTATAGCAACCCTGTATAGGGTTTCCAAGGAGCAGCTGGTGAGCTTGAACCACTCACTTTGTGGTTCAAAAACCAACCTTGCAGTTCAGCGCATTAACCCACAGCGCCACACCAGCCACTCCATTAAGTCTATGTTGTTGTTGCTGTTAAGTCGAGTCAATTCTGACCCATAGCGACCCTGTATAGGGTTTCCTAGGAGCAGCTAGTGAGCTTGAACCACCGACCTTGCAGTTCAAACGGCTTTGCAGTCTGGTGCATTAACCCACAATGCCACACCAGGATTCCCCATTAAGTATATGTTGTTGTTGTTGTTAAGTGCCTTTGAGTCGGTTCCGACCCATAGTCTAGCAATTCATAAAATTAAATTTGTAGCAACTTAATTTAGCATGTTCTGGTGTGGCACTGGACTGCTAACCAATTAGTTCCTAGTAGAAAAGAAGAGGCTTTCGGCTCCTGTAAAGATTTACAGCCTCAGAAACCCCATACAGGGTCGTTAGATGTTCACTGAGAATGAACTCGATGGCATTGGGATTGTTTGTTTAATATCTCACATACCCTGTTAGCACACTGGCTAACTAAACACTGGCTGCTAACTAAAAGGTCGGTGGTTTGAATCCTGTTCAAGTCGGAGAAAATGTGGCAGCGGGAATGGGAATGGATCATTCAATAGCAAAATATGCATGGGCTTAATGGTGCTTACTTACTAACCTGTACTGAGACCCAGGTGAAATGGTTCATTATGGATTGTTGCTGTTACTATGTCACTATGGATTGTGCAGACGTACAGCGATCCTGTATAGGGTTTCCGAGGTGCGGCTGGTGGGCTGAACCGTCCACTTTGGTTCAAGCCCACTTTGCAGTCCAGCGCATTAACCCGCAGCGCCCCACTAGGACTCCAGATTAGCAAATAAGAAACACAAAATAAGGCACTGCGTGCCTAATTCACATGTTCACTGGGAGCTGGTGCAGACCGTGTACTGGCGAATCCAGCCCTGCGTGCCAGTCTGCTTCTATAAAGACTTACAGCCTTGGGAAGAAGCCCTAGTAGGCAGGTCCACTCACAGCAATGCGTTTTGTTTTGTTATTTAATACCTCCCATGCAAGGGCCTCCAGACAAATTTTATTTCACTGAGAGACTGGATCGAGGAAGAGGAACTAAAAGAGAAAAATGAGAAATAAGGAGGCAGTGGGGAGAGCACGGCAAATTCAGCAAGCGGAAGAAGGAAAATAGTAAGAGGATGTGACGGTTCAACGCTTTCCCCAAAGTAATCCATGCCTCCAAATCTCCAGTCTAATTCGATCGCTTCACTGGCAGCGCTCCCTCAATCCCGAGTACACAGCTTTCTCCCATTTGGTCCAAACCCCTAATGCCTTCACATTCGGTAGTTCTTGTTTCGAAAAAAAGTGTTCTTTCCTCTCCACGCTCAAGGGCGACTTACTTCTAAAATGCCGACGGGCGCGCTCTGAGATGCCCTTGCCCAGTTCAACGCCGATTGAGCGCTCAGCGTCTGACTTGAAGCAGGTGCGCAGGCCCAGGTGCAGGGTTAGGTTCCTCACTTCCTCGAGGGCAGCCTATGGGCTGCAACCAGAAAGTAGCTCAGTAACCGCTCGCCTGCTGCCTATCCTGTGGGCTTCCGACCATCCGGCGCTCAGACCCAGAGGGGAAGGGGCAGGCGGCCGGAGAGCTAGCCGAATTGCATCCCCACCCCACCCCCACCCTCGCGCGCACGCGCAGCTGCCTTCATTTAGTCCGCGATGGCTTCCTCCGCGCCCCACCGTTCTCCTCCCGAAGGCGGCTCCAACGTACCCCGGAGCCACTGGGGCCGGCCACGAGCAGGGCCCTGAGCAAGACTATCCTTAAACAGGAACGGGGTGGCCGGACGTGCGCGTGAGGAAAAGGAGCGGCAACCGGAAAGAGTTGACGGGTCGTGAGGAGGCGAGCCAGAGGCCTCAGAGGAAGAGGAAGGCCGGAGCGAGCCGAGGTTTGCCGAAAGCGGCGTACTGGAGGTGCATGGGGCGGGGAGGAAGGCCGAGGGTGGGAGAGGAGGGGCGCGGCGGAAACTGCCGATGTTTTCCGAAGGCGGCAGCAACCGAGTTGCCCGGATGTAGTTGGTGGAGCGGCAGCGGCGGCACCAGCGGCGGTGGCGGCGGGAGGAGGAGGAGGAGGAGAAGGACCAGGCAGCGGCGGCGGCGGGGGGAGGAGGGGAGGAGGCGGCGGAGCAGGAGGTGCAGAAGGCGGAGAAGGCATTCGCTCTCCGCGGGGCTAAGCCGGACGCGTCTTCTGCCCCCCCTCCCCCCGGTTCGCCGCTGCCGCCGTGTTGTAGTTGGCGCCGTTGCCCCGGCTAAGAGTGAGCGTGGTGTCGGCGGAGGGAGATGGCCCGGGAGCGTCGGCGCCAGTAACGGGGAGGTGCTGAGACTCACCGAGGGCGCGCCGGGCCCTGGTGCCGGTGCTGCCGCCCGCCCGCCCGCCTGCCCGCCGCCCGCCTCTCGCGGCCGCTCTCCCCCCTCCCCCGACACACACTCACAGGCCGGGCATTGATGGTAATGTATGCGAGGAAACAGCAGAGACTCAGTGATGGGTAAATTGCCTTTTCGTTTCGGGCCGGGCCGGGCGGGGGCGGGGGGCGGCGGCGGCGGCGGGGGGGCTGTTCCTCCTTATCTGCTGCTGGCCAAGCCGCCATTTTTGTTGTTAACCCTGCTCGGGCCCGGGCTGGGGAGGAGGAGCCGACGCGGCCGCGGGAGCGGGCGAGTACAGTGTGTGTGTGGAGGGGAGCGGAGGGCCGGCTTCGCAGGTCTTTCGCTCGTGTTACCTCTTTAAAGCCGGGCTTGTGTGTGTGCGTGCCTCGCGGCGTACGTTTGGTAGGTCTTTCCCGCGGGGAGGTGCGATAGGGGGAACCTGGTTTTTCTTCGTTCGCCCGTGATGTCTCATGTCTCTGTCTCTCTTCCTGTTTTTCAGCTGTCACGACCGGAGGGGGGACTCGCAGCCTTACCAGGTACCAGCCGAGGCTGGGGCGGAGGGGTGGGAGGGGGCCGGAGGGGGAGGGGAGGATCTGCTACTCGAGCGCAGGCTTCAGAAGTCGCTACAGGCCCTTCGGTGTAACAGATCCGAAAGTAGAACCGTGGGCCCCATACAAAATGCTGGGGTTGTTTCTCTTAACGCTCTCCAACAAGGTTTAGTGACTTATTTTGACAGGTGATTGGAGGAAGTTTAAGTTTTTAGAGGGGGAAATATTTTGCAGCCAGGAGGACCTGACTCGATTATTTGGGTGTGAAGGAATTGATGTGAAGAGGATAGGCGATTGGGAGAGTATTTATTGTATTGAGCTAAAAGTTAATGGCTAGGTATTGAAATCAGGTGAAAGCCCTTGAAACAAGACAGTTGATTCCCAACTCTTAAGTCTGTTATTAATTGCTCTCTCTCCCTATTTGAATTTTTGTTGCAATTGCCCTACCTGGTTCCTTCTCTCGCTTTTTTTGTTTTAGTTGATCTCTTTTAATGCTTGAATATTTCACTCTAAAGTGAAAGTTTCTTGCTAAGTGGGTTCCTTTTTTATTACGTTACTATTGGAAAATTCTTAGAAATTATGATAGAATTACCTGGAGTGTTTTTTTGGGGGTAACTTTGATAAATGGTAGACAACTATCAGATGATTCTGGAATTAATACTTTTTGAGTCTTAACTACTTGAAGGATAACAATAGATTTCTAATGTGAAAGTTCTGTTACTGGTTAGCAAGAGTTGTTAAAGCTCAAGTTAAAAATAATAGGGTCCTTGATGTGAAAACAGTGTCCATTACATTGGGATATGACAAAGATTAACCCCTATTGAATATGAACTCCTAAAACAAACATTGCAAACACTCAGTAGATCATTCATAAAATGTGGTAAAAGAAACTAAGCCATTATTGTACAGGGAGTTAATTAACTTTTTTTTTTTTTTTTTTAAATACTGAGCATATATCAGTTTATATTGGCCAGTATTTTAATTCTTTTAAAATTGTGTTCCAACCTGATAGGAATAGTTAAGTTAGGTCTGAAATACTCTGAATCAAACAGAATAGTGTGATGTAACCCGGCACCCCCCTTTTGGGGTAGGTTTGCACAAACATACATGTTTATACCTGTTTCTAAGTGTATATCAGAGCCCTCATATAGTGCTGTATGATAAGCATTGGACTACTAGTCACAGGTAAATGGTTAAATCCACCTGCCGCTCCTTGGAACCCCTATGCAATGCCTCCTCCAGGGTGCTTAACAATAACAAGCATATCAGCTATATATAGCAGAAATTGAGTATAGTAATAATTGGATTCTAGATTTCCAAAAAAGAAATTCAAGTAGTAATTAGTAGAAAAATTTTATGTGGAATAACTATGCCAAAGTTCTGGTGTGGTGCTACAGGTTAATGCGCTGGACTGCAAGGTCGGTGGTTCAAGTTCACCAGCTGCTCAGAAACCCTGTACAGGGTTGCTATGGGTCAGAACTGACTAGACAGCACTTAACAACAATGATTTATATCAGGAGCCTTATAACAAAGCATTTGGGGCTTGTCTGAATCTTTAAGGGTGTAATTCTAAATGGAATTTAAAATTTTGTTATAAATACATTATATCATTAAATTGATTTAGGAAGTTAAGTTTAAAGTTTCAATTCTCTCTTTTTTTGGGGGGGTGTGATGTTTTACAGGCACTTAAATATTCATCGAAGAGTCACCCCAGTAGTGGTGATCACAGACATGAAAAGATGCGAGATGCCACAGGTCCTTCACCACCAAATAAAATGTTGCGGAGATCTGATAGTCCTGAAAACAAATATAGTGACAGCACAGGTCACAGTAAGGCCAAAAACGTGCATGCTCACAGAGTTAGAGAAAGGGATGGTGGTGAGTAGATTTTCTGTTGAAATTTTGCATATATTTGTCATTAACAATAGCTCTATATGAAACAGTCTGGTAATATTTCAAGTTTGAGGGCATTCCATGTGGTTATGTCATTGAGGCCTTCTAATTCTGTCAGCTTACATGATTCACTAACAAGTTACTCTAGAAATAAGATGCCGACCTGAACATCTAAATACTAGACACTTAATAGTTGATAGTAAGAGATTATAAGTATTGTTTTATCACATGCTTCATTAATGTGGGAGAAACGCAGAACCTTTTCTCAAGATTGTAACTTTAAAGTTAGTGAAAATTTCAGTTAATCTGGTGTAGTTTATTTTGAGATTTTTGTACTGCCAGAAGTTAACTTTTCAGAGTTCGAATGTTTGTGTATAATGATGAATAATGACAAATTTCATGCTTTTCATGGTAGTTCACAGGTAAAAATTTTGTGACACAAAATTTTTGAGTTTTGGTGGTAAACATTTAAATTTTTATTTTCTAGGATGCTGTTAATTTAACTTTTATACAGCTTTAAGAAGTTAGACTTCTTCAAGGTTAGGTCAGTCTTACTTTTTTTGCACACTGTTGATACCCTTCTATTATTACTTTGCTTTAGACTCTTTGTGTTAGGAGACAGAATAAGTAAGTAAAATCAACTCCAGATATATATTCTCAGACTTAATTTGCCTAAGATTTACCAAAATATCAGGGTTCAAATCTAAAAAGTACATTAAGGAGCAAACTATTTTTCACTAAGGTAATGCTGTATCTTCTCTCACAGTTAGATCGTACGTTATTTAGTAGCTACAGTGAATGACAAATGTATAAATTATGCTTTTATAAACTAATATAAACTAACAAGGAAACATAGTAGAATTACATGCAGCTTTCTTTTCCCTTTGACAACTAGATTCTCAATACTTTACTTACTTTTTTTTTAATGTCTTGCATTTTCTATATTTGTTATAGAAATCTGATAATGAGAAACATTAACCATCTTACATATAATTACGAGGTTGATCAAATTAGAAATGGTCAGTTGCATTGGGATGCAGTATAATATGGATTATTATTGTAGGAGAGAAAAATAGTTAAGTTTCTTCTGTTGAATATAGCTGTAGCTTTGTGCTACTTACGCAGATAAACCAGTTTCTTTGTAAAAGTACAGGGAGTTTTGACTATTAAAAATCTTAGTTCTTTGGCAAGATTACTTTAAATTATTATCAGTCATTTTTGTGGGTAACTTTTCCATGGCCTTTATACAGTTATACAGATACCACTTTTTTATAGTAGATTTTTATATCAAATATTACTCCTGGAAGGGGGGGTAGGTAGGTTTATACTGTGGTTCTATTGGATAATGCACTAGACTGAACCACAACGTCAGAGGTTCAAACTCACCAGCTTCTCCCCTGAAATCCTATACAGGGTCACTATTAGTTGGCACCGACTGGGCACTTAAGAGAAACAACAATGATTGTTACAGGAAGAAAAGGATATGGCACCTCATCTTCTTGTAGATAGTACCTCAGATTCTCTTTTAGTAACTATGATCAGTAAATCTATACCCAAATCTGGGAAGAAGTCAGTTAAACATTATGTAAATGCTATCAGAAGTTTACAACAAACAGTTACAATGATAAAATTTTCACAGGTGAAATAAGTCCAAGAACATTCTGTTGCTTTTTCATTCAACAAACATATTGGCATATATTGTGTGCCAACAATTGTGTGATATTCCTGGAAGTCAATATAAAATACCATCCTGGCCTTGAGGCTACCTTTCAAGGTGTTGCCTATTAAAGACTAGTGATATTTCAACTGCTTATCAAAGACTAGTGATATTTCAACTGCTTATCTTCTCTGGACCACCAACACACACACACACACACACACACACGCACAGAGCTTTTGGGAGAACTCTAGGTATATCTTGCTGGTTTTTAGGTTCCTATTTATTTTCATCTGCTATATTAGCTTCATTTTTTGGAACTTGTTACTTTTTCTGATCTAACTATTTTGCTAGTTTAGGCTCTATAATTTACTTTTTGATACTTTGTATACAGGTCTCAGCTACTTTGTCTTCTGTTGAGTACCTCTTTTAACATACTGTAACTCAGCCCTCGTCTATATCATCTTTAATAAACCTGGTTGCCATATTCCATTATACTATGAAGGAATAATACCATAAGAACTCCATTGTGGAGTTCAGAGTATATCTTTGATGTTAGTCTAATATTTTAGAGGGATAAAATGATAATTCTTTTGCTTTCTGAAGGAATTAGCCTCTCACTTTGAGAAAAAGGAAAGAATAATTCTTAAATATATACCCAACCATAGTATAATTCTAGGTGTATATAGTTTTTTTTATTGCCAATTTATGTCTGAAACTAAAAATTCTGAACGTTATGCATGACTTTTTGTTATTAAGGGCTATAGAGTCGGTTCCAACTGAGAGACCAGAGCAACTGGCTGGAGAGTTTGAACCACTGACCTTTTGGTTAGCAGTGCAGTACTTACTCTACAGTTGTTAGGTGCCATCAAGTTGGTACCAATTCATAGCGACCCTATGCACAACAGAATGAAACACTGCCCAATCCTGGGCCAACCTCACAATTGTTGCCACGCTTTGAGTCCATTGACGCTGCCACTTTGCCAATCCATCTTGTTGGGGGTCTTCCTCTTTTTCTCTGAACCTACCCCTTACCAAATATGATATCCTTCTTCAGTGACTGGTCCCTACTGGTAATTTGACTGAAGTATGAGAGATGGAAGTTTGGCCATTTTGGCCTCCAAGGAGCACTCTGGCCCCACTTCTTCCAACACAGATCTATTGGTTCTTTTGGCAGCCCATGGCACTTTTAATATTCTCAAAAAGCATCAATTCTTCTACCGTCTTCATTAGTCACTGTCCGGCTTTCGCATGCATTTTAGGTTATTGAAAATACCACGGCTTGGGTCAGGCGCTCAAGCTGACATCTTTGCTCTTCAACACTTTAAAAAGGTCTTCTGCAGCAGATTTGCCTAATGCAATACGTCGTTTGATTAGGCATGATTACTTGAGCTAGGGTTTAAAGCAAGGTAGAATTTACCTGGCAGAGAGAGATTGAGTGCGATGGTAATAGTTTAGTCCATAATTTATAAGATATTACATGCATTTAAAGGGCATTTTATCTTATAAAATACAAAATGTATCTTAATGAAATCTAACAAAAATCTGTATGTACATCATCTGGAAATATTGTTAAAATGCAGATATTCTGTAGCTCTTGGGTATAACAGTTTCAACAAACTCCCAGGTGATGCTGCTGCTGCTAACCAATGGAGCATACTCTGGGAAGCAAGGGACGAAGCTGGATGGAATAGCGTGGGCAAAGGCACAGAGGAGGCGGATTAGTTCATAAACTGTGATGGATCAAGAAACAGTACCAGTCTAATTTAACTAGAGGGTACTCTACAAATAAGGAAACTGCAATGGTAGTTCAGGTACAAATAGTTTAGAATGTCAAAACAGTGGTATGAATTAATTAAAGTAACAAGGTGGTATGAATTCATTAATGTAACAAAGTCCCCATTTCCAAACTAGAATAGGGGCCAGGACTTCAATACATACCTAAGAGAACAAAATTCAATCCGCAACTCATACTAATATACTTCAACTATCTGGTTTAGTATAACTTTACATCAGATTGATTGGTGCAGGGGACTAATTTAGCATTATGTACTTTATATTGCTGATTCACATCAGTATCTGAAGATTCCATAAGTAAAAAAATTAGGTGACCAACTGCAGATTCATGGAAAATAGTTTCTTCCTTCTTTGGTCTTCCAGATCTTTTATTGTAAGTGACATTCTACCTTCCTAGGAGGAGCTCTAAACTAGGTGGCCCTGCCTGGAAGAGATACATAACTAAGCTTTAATTTTAATATTTAAGATCCTTTGTATAAGGGATTTATACTAGAAATGAAAATTTAAATATATACCTGCAGCAGATTTGCAGTGGGCAAATCTGTTGGAAATAAAAAAGCCTCTTTATAGTGTTACTACAAAGCACAGATAACAATTTGGGAACTAAGGTGCACCTGAGCTCCTTAGGGTGACTGCTGCTTCCATGAGTGTTGATAGTTAATTCAAGAAGAATGAAGTCCTTGACAACTTCAATCTTTTCTCTGTTGATAAGAATGTTTATTGGTCCAATGGTGAGGATTTTTATTTTCTTTACATTGAGATGCAGTGCCACACCAGAATTCCATGTATGACTATATTTGTAGTCTATTAGTTCCCTTAGATTTTTATCTTTAAATGAATATGAATTTCAATATATATGAATAAATCCAAAACCATTAGCCAAAATCACAAATGAACTCAGTGTGTAGACTTAACAGATTGCTATGTTGATTGAACTAATTTCTAAAAAATTTTTTAAAACCTTTTCTTAGTTTTTGTTTTTGTTATAAGTGAAATGGCTTTTATTAATAGCTAATATCTTAAGTGTCTAATGTTATTTGAACCTGCCATTTATAAAACTCTACAAATGAGGGACTTGTAAGGTGTGTTTGTTTTCCAAAGGATTGGGCATTTTTGGTACTATC